ACAGCCAAGACAGGGAATCAACCTAAGTGTCCATCAAAGAAAAATAAAGAAAAGAAAGATAAGGAAAATGTGGTACATAAACACATGAAATATTATTCAGGCATAAAAAGAATGAAATCCTGTTATTTGTAAGAACATGAGTGGATATTACGTTAAGTGAAATAATCCAGGCACAGAAAGACAAGTATGTTCTCACTCATATGTGGGAGCCAAAAACAAATGATCATGGAGACATATCAGAATGATGATTACCAGGGGCTGGGAAAGGTAGTCAGGAAGGAAGGACAAAGAGGGGTTGGTTAATGGGTAAAAAATACAGTCAGATACAAAGAATAAGATTCAGTGTTTGGTACCAAAACAGGGTGACCACGGTTAACATTAATTTATTGTGTATTTCAAAATACACAATATTCTACAGGAGTGGAATTGGAATGCTCCTAACGCAAAGAAATGATAAATGTTTGAGGTCATGCATATCTCCATTACTCTGAGTTGATTACTACATATTGTATGCTTGTTGTCAAATATTATTATACATGTATTCCATAAATGTGTACAATATTATGTATCCATAAAAACTTTGTGTGTGTGTGTGTGTGTGTGTGTGTGTGTGTATTTATTTATTTACTTATTTAGAGATGGAGTCTCTCTGTCACCCAGGCTGGAGTGCAGTGGCACAATCTTGGCTCAGTGCAACCTCCACCTCCCGGGTTCAAGTGATTCTCCTGCCACAGCCTCCCAAGTAGCTGGGATTACAGACATGTGGTACCACGCGCGGCTAATTTTTTTAATTTTTTTATTTTTAGTAGAGACGGGGTTTCACCATGTTGGCCAGACTGGTCCCAAACTCCTGACCTCAAGTGATTCTCCTGCCTCAGCCTCTCAAAGTGCTGGGATTACAGGTGTGAGCCACACCTGGCCCATAAAAATTTTTAAAAAATGAATTAACATCACTCCTTCATAAGCTCTTTCAAAAAACAGAAGAGGAGGTAACACTTCTGAGCTCATTCTATGAAGCCAGAATTATCCTGATACCAAAGCAAACACTGACATCACACACACCAAAAAAACTACAGACCAATGTCCCTCATAAATATGAATACAAAAATTGTCAAGAAAATGCTAGCAAACTGAACCCAGAACATATAAAAAGAATTACATATCATCACTAAGTGGAATAATTCCAACACTGCAAGAGTGGTTCACTTTGCAAAAATCAATTAATATAGTATATCACATATTAATAGAATAAAAGACCAAATACACAATTATTTCAATAGACAGAAAAGGCATTTGACAAAATGTAATACCCTTTCATGGTTAAAAAAAAAAAAGTATTCAACAAACTAGAAATAAAAGGGAATTTCCTCAACCTAATAAAGGACAACTACCCCAAACCCATGGTTAACATATTTAATGGTGAAAGACTGAAAGCTCTCCCTCTAAACTCAGGAACAAGAGAAGGATGTCTGCTCTCATCAATCTATTCAACATTGTACTGAAGATTCTAGCCAGGGTAATCAAACAAGAAAAAGAAGTCAAAGGGATACAGAATTGAAAAGAAAGCAGTCAAACTACCTCTGTTTGCGATGGCATTATCTTGTATATTGAGAACCCTAAGGAATCCACAAAAAGCTATTAAAGTTAGTAAACAAGTTCAGCAAGGTTGCAGAATACAAGATCAATATACAAAAATCAATTAAAGTTCTATACACTGGCAATGAACAATCCAAAAATGAAATTAAGAAAAACAGCATTAAAAATACTTAGAAATAAATTTAACAAATAATTACCACTGATGCACTAAATATTATTTTTTAAAAATCATCAAGAAACAATTAAAGAAGACCTAAGTAAGCTGAAAGACATCTGTGTTCATGGAATGGAAGACTAAATAATGTTACAACAGCAATACTCCCTAAGTTGATCTAAAAATTCAATTCAATCCTTATCAAAATTCCAGATGGATTTTTTGGAGAAATTGCCAAGTTTATTCTAAAATTCAAATTAAAATGCTAGGTATCCAAAATGGCCAAAACAATCTTGAAAAACAAAAGTTGGAGCACTTACACTTCTCGATTCAAAACTTATAAAACTATAATATCTAGAGTTATCAGGTACAAGAAATCAAATACATGTGGTGCTGGTCCAAAGATAGACAAATAGATCAACGCAGGATGTATTTGCATTGATCTAAAAGTACAGAAAGACATTTTATGGTCAATTTTCAACAGGTATAACCAGAAAATTCAATGGCAAAGTAGTCTTTTTAATAAATGATGCTGGAACAAATGGATATCTATATGTGAAAGAATAAATTTGGACCCCATCTCACATCATATATAAATTAACTTGAAAATAAATCAAAGGCTTAAATATAAAAGCTAAAACAATAAAACTTGAGGCTGAGGTGGGAGGATCATTTGAGCCAAGGATTCAAAACCATCCTGGGCAACAAAATGAGACTGTATCTCTAAATAAATAAATAAATGAATAGGGGGAAAAAAAGGAAGTGAAAAGATAACCAAAGAGTCAAAATATTTGAAAATCCTGTATCTGATAAGAGCCAAGTATAAGAATACATAAAGAACTCTTACAACTCAACAATCAAAGCACAGTAACTCATGTAAAAAATAGACAAAGGATCTGAAAACATATTTCTCAAAAGAAGATATACAAATGGCCAATAAGCACATGAAAAAATGTTCAACATCATTAGTCATTAGAGAAATCTAAATCAAAACCAAAATGAGATACCATGTCACACTACAAGGCTATGATTTTAAAAAGACACATAAAGACAAGTACAGCAAAAAATATGAAGAAAATGGAACCCTTATACAGTGCTGGTAAGAATGTAAAGTTAAGCATAAAGCTACCATATGACCTAACAACTCTACTCCTACATGTATACCCAAAAGAACTGAAAACATATGTCCAACAAAAATCTGTACACAAATATACAGAGTAGCATTATTCATAATTATGCACAAAGTAGAACTATCTCAAATGTCCATTGACTAATGAAAGAATTAACAAAATGTGCTATAGCCAGACAATATTATTCAGCAATAAAAAGGAATGAAGTTTTCATATACACTACAATATAGATGAACATTGAAAACATTATGCTAAGGAAGCCAGACACAAAGGCCATGCATTATCAGATTCTATTTATACAGAATGTCCAGAATAGGTAAATCCATGGAGACAGAAGGTAGATCAGTGGTTGCCAGGGACTAGAGGAAAGAGGAAGTAGAGAGGGAGTACTAATAGGTAGGAAGTCTTTTTCTGGGGGTGGTAAAAAATGTTTTGGAATTATACAAAAGATGACTGTACAACCTTGTGAGTATATTAAAAACCATTGAATTATATACTTCTAAAAGGTGAATTTTATGGTATCTGAGTTATACTTCAATTAAAAATTTTTAATTGGCTTTTTGAAACAGGGTCTCAGTCTGTCGCATAGGTCGGAGTGCAGTGGCATGATCACAGCTCACTACAGCTTTAATCTCCTGGGCTCCAGCAATCCTTCCACCTCAGGCCCCAGAGTAGCTGGGACTACAGGCACACACCACCATGCTCGGCTAATTTTTTTTTTTGAGGTGGAATCTCACTCTGTCGCCCAGGCTGGAGCGCAATGGCACAATCTCAGTTCACTGCAACCACCACCTCCCAGGTTCAAACAATTCTCTTGTCTCAGCCTCCCAAATAGCTGGGATTACAGGCATGCACCACCACGCCCTGCTAACTTTTGTATTTTCAGTAAAGATGAGTTTTCACCATGTTGGTCAGGCTGGTCTTAAATTCCTGACCTCAACTGATCCGCCCGCCTTGGCCTCCCAAAGTACTAGGATTACAGGCATGAGCCACTGCACCCAGCCATATTTTAAAAATGTTTTTGTAAAGATGAGGTCTCACTATATTGCCCAGGCTGGTCTCAAACTCCTGGGCTCAAGCAATATTCCCACATTAGTCTCTGAAAGTGTTGGGATTACATGTGTGAACCACTGTGCCCAGTTTCAATACAAATGCTTTAGTAGAACTGAAAAATTGAAGACTTCAAAGAAAGAAGGATAAAAGTTATAACACAGTAACATGTATTGGCTCAATGAATCCACTTTTTCCAGTCAGTCTCCACCGTTTTCACACTACCTACGTGGCTGTAAGATTTTTAATTCTTGATATTCTACTACAACTAATTTAGAACATATTATACACCTTATTACAGTATCAAGGTACCAATATTGACTCATTAAAGTCTTGCAGGGCACAAGCTAATTGCTTTAGTAATGTACTGAGAATCTCCACAAGGAACTAACTATATTTTCTAAGGCTGTGTTTTAATAGACTATACTATGGAAAACTGAATATTTAAAATTTAAAGACTGCTTAGATTTAAAATTGGTAAACAATATAATGACATCACTGATAGGTCCCCAGAAATCGGTATTTTGCCATAATATTCAGGTCAAAAAAGAACTACCAAAATATAAGTGAATAAAAAAATAGACAGGGAAGGAAAGGGCTAAAGTCCAAAGAAAACTAAACACAACTTGGTTAAACAGCTGTGTTGAAAAACAATTTCTTATCTTGCAATTAAGAACCGATTTCTTTCTGAAAGACACAGGACATTGGGTTAATAGATTTCTTTAAAGGAAAATCTGTTTTGGCTACTGAAACATTAAAAGAACAGAACATCTGTTTTGCAAGTAAAGACAGATTGTGCAGAAGAATCAAATCTCAAACCACCAATTAAACTAGCATTTAATCTGTTCTATTTAAATTTTCAATAAAAGTGAAGTTCAATTCTTGAAATTATAGTTCAGCTATAAATATTTAACATCAGGAACCCCTAACACTGAGACAATCTTAGAGTATAAATAAGGTAATTATTAGTAAGGTAATTATTTTTAATTCTACTTTATATCAAAACCAGGTTTTAAAGCACTATATATTCTAAAAATCATTTTTAAAGTATTATAAAAGGGAAAACTCACCATCCATGAATTCCGTACATATTGAAATCCTATTTTCTACAAAAAATGCTCCATAAAATCCAATGATATATGATGAATCACACTGTAACAAAAATAAGACAAAAGTAGTTATAAACCTGCAAGTCAATATCATAGGCATGCTTTACAAATAAAAATTATGAAAAGAATTACCTTATAAAGAATTTCCAATTCAGACATGATTTGCTTCTGAAGTTCCAGTGTAATATCTAGTAGTATGACCTAAATATAGAAAGGTATTAACAGTTATTCACCTTCTAACCATATTAGCTATACTCACTATGAAATATAAGAACTAAAAAAATGGTAGTTCGTTTATTCTTCTCCACTTCCTTCTGCTTACCACTATAATTCCCAGTAATACAAACCGTATCCTCATCTGTCTAACCCTTTGTCCTCTAGTACTGGCGGAGGTGGTACAGAAGTGATTGATGGGACCAAAGAAAAAACCCAGGTCTCAAAGGTCAGCAGTAATGGCTTTAAAAGTCAGTTAAGTTATAACACTCTTAATTTATGCACCCTATTTTAGCCACATTGGCTATTTTCAAATGAGGAACATGGAAATGACCCTCAAGCCAATATGAAAGAATTGTCTTGGCTGGGTGCAGTGGCACACGCCTGTAAACCCAGCACTTTGGGAAGGAGGCTGAGGTGGGAGTGTCCCTGAAAACCAGGGGTATACAACCAGCCTAAGCACCATAGCAAGATCCCATCTCTACAAAAAAAATAAAAAATTATCTGGGTGTGGTGTGATCAGGTGGTCCCAACCAACTTGGAGGCTGAGGTGGGAGGATCACTTGAGCCCAGGAATTTGGGGTTGAGGTGAGCCATGGCTGCGCCAGTACACTCCCAACACTCACTCCCACAAGGGTGACAGAGTGAAATCTTGTCTCTTAAAAAAAGAACTATCTTGTGATTTGTGATCAGACACTAGGCAATAAGCAAAGAGGCTGATGAATAAAAATGACATTTTATTTATTTATTTAGAGACACAGTCTCATGCTGTCACCCAGGCTGGAGTGCAGTGGGGTGATCTTGGCTCACTGCCACCTCTGCCTCCCAGGCTTAAGCAAACCTCCCACCTCAGCCATCCAAGTAACTGGGACCACAGGTGTGCCACCAGGCCCAGCTAATTTACTGTATTTTTGGTAGAGATGAGGGTTTCACCATGTTGCTCAGGCTGGTCTTGAACTCGTAAGCTCAAGCAATCTGCCCATCTTGGCCTACCAAAGTGCTGGGATTGCCGACATGAAGCACCACACCTGGCCAAAACATTACGTTTTTTTTTTTTGTTTTTTTCTTGAAACAGAGTCTTGCTCTGTCACTCAGGCTGGAGTGCAGTGGCACAATCTTAGCTCACTGCAACCTCTGTCTCTTGGGTTCAAGTGATTCTCGTGCCTCAGCCTCCTGAGTAGCTGAGATTACAGGAGCCCACCACCAAACCCGGCTAATTTTTGTATTTTTGGTAGAGATGGGGTTTCAACACGTTGGCCAGGCTGGTCTAACTCCTGACCTCAAGAGATCTGCCTGACTTGGCCTCCCAAAGTACTGGCATTACGAGTGTGAGCCACCATGTCCAGTCAAAAATGACATTTTCAATAGGGTTTTTAGTTATGAGAGAAATAAGTAGTTTTAAAAATATATTATCTTTTTTTTTTCCAGTCAGGTAATGTTCTTTGCTAATACTGTTATGGAAAGTTAAAGCTTGAAAAAATCTTATTTCATCTAACTCCCTTCTTTTACTGAGGAAGAAGCCAGGTTTCCTTCCCAGGAGCCACAGAGCCTGGCAATGGTAGGACCCCTCTTCTGGACTCAGTCTCATGGGCTTTTCAGTACTTCATGGTTTATTTAAAATATCAATCACTGAGTGATATTACCCATAGTAATTTATAACCCACAAATAAAATATTTATAAACTTATCTAGAATAAATTCTAGTTTATTTCAAATACATTATTTTTTAAGAAAGAAGACCATACTGTTCAAATTCTACTAAGCACATCAGTGAAACTAATTCAAGAGTAATTACTTTTTACTTTATTTATTTGTTTATTTTGAGGCAGAGTTCTGCTCTGTCGCCCAGGCTGGAGTGTAGTGGCGAGATCTCGGTTCATTGCAACCTCCACCTCCCGGGATCAAGCAATTTTCCTGCCTCCTGAGTAGCTGGGATGACAGGCACGTGTCACCACACCCAGCTGATTTTTGTATTTTTAGTAGAGATGGGGTTTCACCATGTTGGCCAGCCTCGTCTCAAACTCCTGACCTCAGGTGATCCACCCATCTCAGACTCCCAAAGTGCTGGGATTATAAGCATGAGCCATCGTGCCCGGCCTGTTTTTTACTTTAAAAAGGCAGTGATGAGAATGAAATGGGTGGAAAACAATTTTTATGATTTGTGGCAGAGTTTCTGACTCTACACCTTTCTAGATAAAAACTTAACATTTAGAATTACTATGATAGTTTAGTTATATACCATTCAACTTTGAATTACATTTTGTATTACAAGAAAAAAATATATATATATATAAAAAATCGTACTAAAGAAAAAAATTTATTATGCATTGTAAGCTGCTGCTAGAGCAAGGAAAGAAAGGGACAATTCTAAAGTACATTTTATAGTCCTGACGTTGATTTGCAGGAGGGGAAGTTGGAAAAAAAAAAAAAAAAGGCATAGGCAATTTCTATCCAGAGTTTGCTTTAGGAATATTTATAAAAGCTCTCAGTAAACTAGACTGTAAACGTAATACAAAACTGCCCAGAAATATTTAAACACTTCTCCTGATCAATAGTCATTTGCCAACAACATTCACTTACAATTTTGTATAAAACTTACTAACAAAATTAATTCATCTAGCATCAGTTCAATCCTATGCCATAAAATATTACAGCTATTCCTATTACGATGTCAAGTACCAGGAATCTCTCACTCTAAGAAACTCTGCTAAAAGGAATGAAGTTACTATTGACCTTAAATCAGTGGTTCTCAACCCTGGCCTCACATAATAACACTGAGGGCACTTAAAAAAAAAATTCCAAAGTGGAGGCCTTACCCCAAACCAATGAAATGAGAATCTCTGGGGTTGGGCCCACATCTTTGTTATTTTGAAAAGCACCCCAGGTAATTTCTAACTCAAAGTAAAGTTAAGAACCACTTATTTAAGGTTTGAAAAATGGCATTTATTCAGTGCTAAGATATATGAGTATTAAGATATACTGCATCTCCAGGCCATCACCAACCCAGAAATGACATGATTCCACATTGCTAGCAAACATCCTGGAATTAACCCCAACCTACTAGCTGTGAATATATCATTTCCTTGATCAAGAACCTAATTGTGTTCCCATTGCCTACAGTAAAGTTAAAACTCCAGCATGACATTCAAGGAATTCTTCCACAATACAGACGACTTATTCTAACTCCTCTTCCCACTACTCCTACCACAAACCTACCCTTCATGTGAAATCAGATGACATTTCCTGGTATATACACAAATATCCTGTGCTTTGCCTACTTCCAGTCTTTGCTCCTGCCGTTTCCTCCACTTGGGGTGTGCTTCCTCTCTCCACTCCAGTCACTGTTTGAAAAAAGCTGCTCTACCTTTTAGACCCAGCTTGAATGCCACCACTGCCTCCATGAAGCCCACCTCAAAGCCATCCACCAAAATTCACCTCCAGCTCTGGCCCTCGATATATACATTCTGCCTTGAGCATCCATTCCTCATCTCCTACCAACAGAAGCCTCAAGAATAGAGTGACTATAAGCCTCTCAAGGGCAAGGGCTGAGTCTTGTACATTTCTCTATCTCCCCCAGCACTCCACACAAGGTCTAACCTGGTAAGTGATGTGGGATTTAACTAATGTCGTTACAACTACATTCCTCTTTATAAGAAGCTGTTTCTAGACAGAAGAAATAGATTGCTTGATTTCTACAACTGAATTTAAAACCAAGAACATACACCACCAAATAAAAATGCTGAAATATAGTAAGTATAGTAAATATAGTAAGTAAATATACCTAAAATATAGTAAGAAATACTGTATTTGTAGAGCTAATCCACAGTATTCTATTTCATTTTGATCTTTGTTGGTATTTTCCTTAGTCTAGAATAGACGAGATTCCAAAATGATGAAAAAACCCAATAAAGCAATTTCTGGGAACTTGAGAGGGAAAGTAAAATGCACCTTAAAATAACTCTACTCAAATGCTCTCTATTTTCTGGGAGACTTGGCACTCTGGGTGGAAGGTTAATTCTCCTTCCCCTGGGTATTCTTGTGAGTGAGCTTTAAAATTGCTAAAAATAAACAAATCCAATTCCTTATTTGAAGGCAATGGTGAAAAGCATGGCAAAGACTAATTTTCTTTTTGAAGTACAAGGCAAGTACGGACTCCCTGAGTCTTTTATTTTCTCCTTAGGAAGTGCTAAATGTTGTAAACTGGAGAGAATCTGAATATGAAACATTTCATTGAGAAAGGGTTAAGTGAGAAACTGAAATACCTTAGTGCATTTCCACTGCTCTCCACTACACCTCCAGGACAAATAAGGATGAGTTGTCAAGTTAAATATAAGCAGTCAAGTGACTGAATTATAATTTACTCTGTGCTCAATTTAAATTAGTGTGAGGCTATTAAAATATACAGTATAAATACGGCAATTCATCACAAGCTGTCATGGATGACTTCATTTATTTGCTGGAGTGGCACACACTTCACTAAAGGGAAGGAGAGCAAAATCACAGGTCAAATTAAGCCGCTATTCTGTTTTAATTCACTTATTTAATCTGTGGCGACATAATTGTCTTTTACAGTATGTACAACTCAGAAAGGAAATTTGGGAGGATTATAGTCAGTATACAAATGATTAATCAAATGGTCCATTTAAATGCTAGTTTAAAAGCAGCAGAAACCCAAAGCAGTCAAAGAATGATAATCAGCACACGCAATATACAATGCTAAGAAATTTCCTGTTAGATGGATTTTTCCCACTTAGAGAACAAACAGTAGTGGGAAATCTATTAAATCCTCCAAGCATTACTACTTGAAAGATTTTATAGAATACATTAATGGTATAAAAATATTCTGTTTACAAGATGGCTAATAGTATTTTTGTTTTCTGCTCTACTTATATGCAACTGTCTTGACTACCTACACCAAACACACACACAAAAAGGTAGAAACACGTTTCATGAATTACATATGGTCATTATGAAATAGTTATCTTTAAA